CTCGAGATTCTCGGACGTTAACCCAGCACCAAGCACGTACGCTACCGAGACATTGTGCTTTAGAAATTGGAAACTTTATATTTCTGTAGTTCCCCACGTTCGAGGGTTTGTTTAAAGTTTTATTTGCTCACTCCATTATTTACAAAGCTTCATATGGATATTAAGGGAATTAACATCGGCAAAATTTACTACCTCATTACTAGGGTTTATGTAATATGCAGTAAGAAAGGGTGGATTCAAGTCTCCCTATTTGAGTGTTCATCCGGTTTAAAATCGTGGATCTCGAGGAACACACAAATTCATTCGACCAATCAAAAACTTGGAACTAGTTCGAGAGTCTAGTTCAGGTGGCGCGTCGACGCGCGAAAATACAGCTCCAGATTATCACGCGTAGTATTACTATATATACACGACCGAAATAATTCAGAGTTAAAATTATACCTCGACATAATTTTTTGATAGTTCGATGTATTAAAAATGTTACCTTTACATAGCTTTGAATGGTAAAAATTAAATGAAAAAAAATCCCTAACCAGATACATTATTCGTTTCATCTCACTATAGAAAATAATTTGTTCATTTTTATATGCTCATCATTATTTTTATGCCCGAGATTTATAAGTGCATTTTTGTTTTTGGTAGTTTTCCGTAATGCCTTCTTTATCCGTCTAAATATTATTTATGCTATTAAAACATGAAACAGCGTAACATAGGTGTTTGTCACAGGTAGGCTCTCGGGAAGAAGAAACTTTCGCTGCTTGATGTACCAATTTATTGCATGTATACGATGTAATATAATACAATATTTGTAGACTGATATAATCATATATTTAATGAATCTTAAGTTAACTAGGTGAACCAATAAGCATAGTTGATAATTAAGAAAAAAAAAGGAATGAGACGTGAGTTCCGAACTCGAGATTCTCGGACGTTAACCCAGCACCAAGCACGTACGCTACCGAGACATTGTGCTTTAGAAATTGGAAACTTTATATTTCTGTAGTTCCCCACGTTCGAGGGTTTGTTTAAAGTTTTATTTGCTCACTCCATTATTTACAAAGCTTCATATGGATATTAAGGGAATTAACATCGGCAAAATTTACTACCT